TTTGTTTAATGTAATTTTTTTAGAACATATTAAATGTGCGCATCCCATTTTAAATGCTGATCAATTACAATTCCCATATACCTAATAGAATTTTCTTTTGTAATTTTAAAATCCGTTTAGTTCATTTTAATTAAATAAAGAAATGGAAGATTGTGATTATGACATTTAAATGGTATGTCAAAGGTTTTGTTAAAATTTATTGAGAGAAGCATACTATCAAACCAACTTTTTTATTTTTATAAAATTATTTTCCAGCACAAGGACCTGAGAAGAGTTCATCCATATATAATTGTTATTGTGTTGTATAAAATTAAGTGTACCTACTAATCTTACAGCAAAAAGCGATCGAAAAAACCTGTTTAAAAAACCTAGTAGCTAAACCTACTGCCCTATGCGCGGACCTATGGGTGTGTAGAAATGTTTTGAGCCCTCCTATCGTTAATTTGGTCAAAAATGATTTAACCTTTGGGAAGTTCATCTCACAACGCGCCGCGGCGGAAACCCTATTTTTTTTTCAAATGTACGTAAAAATCATTTTTGACAATTACAGACCATGAATATTCAAGGTTTTTTAAAATGTAACAGATTTTTTTTTCGGATTGTACCTATCAATCCGATTTACGCCCTTCTTTGTTGTGTTGGTAAAAATGTCTTAAAAGTAAGTGCAAAGTTGTATTCGTATTGGATGTTTAGTCTATTGTTAGTTATGGAAAAGGTATGTTTTGGTAAGCGTATTTTTAGGTATCAAAAAAATGGATCAACAACGGATGAAAATGTGGGAAAAATGGAAAAAATGATGATAAAGGAATATATACTACCTACAATTTAAACCCCCTTTATAATAAGGCAGATTTTTTGGTAAAACAATTAATCTCTTTTGCCTTACTCAGGGATTATTCTACACACATTCCTGCATTACTGATTCGTAAATTTTTTGTCTCAAAAATACTGTAATGATGCCCCAACTTAAATACTAGTCAGAAATTACCCCTTGTGAAGATTCATATTATAAAAATTAAAGAGCCGTCGTTTTACAAGCGTATATGTGATTTAAAGCCCACCCTAAAAGGTTAAACTATAGTTTGGGATATATCCCAAAGATTGCGTACCTACCAGAAGTGTTTCAGGGATTGGAAGAAGTGCTGGTTTAAGTTTAACCAACGAAGATTATTTTCAAGAGGATAAAATTGGTGTAGAAGGATAAATAATAAAAACGCTACTTTTTGAACACACGTCGTACACCTAAAATGTAACTGAAAAGTTATAAAGGTTTGACTTTATTTTATATCCTTGTATAGTATAATTACTTTTTAAATTTTCATCCAGTTATATAGTTTTGTTTATTTATCGGTATTAGTATAAACATAATTGTTATGAATGAAAAATTAAAACAAGTGCACTTAACAATAAAAGTTTGCTTCGAAAGTGTACTTCGACTAACCATAGACAAACAAGAACACAATATGTAAACCTTTAATTTTTGTGGGTGGTCCAAAAATTACACTTAAGTAGTTATATTAATAAAAATAATAATAATTATATTTTAATTATTCTTAAAATTTAATACATTCATATTTTACTGTATAAGTTATTTCATTGCCATTTAATATAATATTTTGCATTTTGCAAAAATCAAGAATTGAAATGATAAAAGCAAGCGTAAATTTTTTGGAGCATTCAGTTGTTCCACTGAAGACAGGAATACTAAAAACTACACTTTTGATGTACGTAAAAGTATCGCAAATGACCCATTAATAGGACCTGGTCATTTAGTAAGTTTTTAAATAAAACACTTTCTAGTTGTAGCCATACATTATGGCATACAAGTCAATTATGGATTGTCCTTAAAATCTTTGTTTGAGTAGATAGATCTTTATATTATATACTTAAAAATAAAGAATACAAATATGTAAAATATAAAAGTTTGATGCAGTCTCGAAAATAATTTAATATAAAGGCGCTTTTACGAACATGGCCCTGTCACGCAGCATACTTGAAATAAACATTCCTTAACTAAAGTGGTCGCGTGCAATGTTTAAGTTTGATTTTCAGCTCTTGTATTTACTTTACGTACTGGAAACAGTGAACCATGAAGAAAGGAATTGTTGAGCCAATATTTAGACAACAATTAATACTATCCTTTAATGTGTGTTTCTTGCCGATGATTGATGATTAATAATTTAATTTAAATAAAAATAATCCCCAATACAAATTAGTTTTTTTAATCTAGGGTTATCTCCATAAATCCTTTGGGCTAATACATGATAAAATCAATATGTGAACAGTCTCGGATAAAAATGGTTTGACTCATAGGGCTTTTTATTTTTATACCTTTAAACACCTACAACAACTATAAAATCTACACTGACCGACAGTGGCTACACAAAGTCTCAAAATTTGAAAACAAAAACAGTGAAGAAATATATTTTTTAATTACCAATCTTTTTTCTCGCCTCTCCCCCCCTTCCGTATCCAGGCGTGGGGGGATTAAGCATACATGCTTAATCCCCCCACGCCTGGCTGTGTATCAAACTAAAGTCAATTTAAAGCACTTTATGCTAAAGTATCTTTTGTTTCATGCAATATTTTGACTATACCAAATATTTATAAAAGCTTAATAATAATAAATACGCTCTACAAACTATCCTCATATAAAAAAGTAGGTTTGAAGATTTTTTATTATACACACAGGTTACTATTATGCTCAAAAAACCGTTTAAAAAGTGTTTATAAAGGTCTGTTAAATTTTTTTGTTTTTTATAGTGTTTTACAACCACGAGTTTTTTCCTAGGTCCCCGGATTACACTTATGCTTCTGAAGTATCTGCAGCGTCCGACAGCAGTAATCTCTACCATTCAAGAGACATTTTTTAATATTTGTAATTTTCTATGCTCTATCATAACATTACCAAATAAAATTATTTTTGACTACCAGATAGGAGGTAACGTATTGCAAAAGATTGACAACTTTACAGACATTTGACACAGAGCTAAGTTTTATACCCCATATAACTAATATAACGTTGTCTGCCTATAAAACTCTAGGGTTCATTACAAGAAATTCTAAAGACTTTTCATGTCCTTATACTACACTACATAATACGCATGTAAGAGCTAAGCTGGAGTATGCCCCAATAATCTGGTCACCTATGTACGATATACATATAAAAAGTTTAGAATCAGTTCAACGACGGTTTTTGAAAACACTGTTTTTTAGGTGTCATCAAGTTTATCCTACTCAGGGATATGAACATAAATTACTCCTTTTAGAATTTAAGTTTATTAGTATGGCACCGCGGAGATTAAGCTCTCCTGTTTTGTTTCTGCACAGAATAATAAACTATGATGTTAAATGTGAGGAGTTAACTTACATATTCCCCGCTTAAGAACTAGACTTAAAACCACATTTTCCATCGCAACCCCACGAACAAATATTTCGATTCAATCACCACTTTATCAAATTATGTCTAGTTACAATAAGTTTGAAGATCACATAGATTTATTTTCATGTAATGCTAATTCTGTAAAGCATTTTTTCTCAACCTACCTATTTTAAGTTATTTTGTTATCCTTTTTTTTTCCTACTCTTTTTGGTTTAGTTTGCATATTTTTTGTTCTTAGTTAAATGTGATATGATTTAATTATGTGTATATATGTTATACATATATTCTGTAAATGGGTCTAGGCCTGTAGAATATTAATTAAATAAATAAGTATCTTCCTTATTCTTTCTCCTTGAGCGGCCTTTTTCATTTTACCTTGTTCTTGTCCACCTCAATTTTGGCCATGAGAAACTTTTCTGTATATAAATACCTTACTTTTTACCACCTCCGTTCATCCATTCCTTTTTTAACATCCAGAGACAAAGACTTTTAAAAGAAGTAGAAATTGCTTATCACTGTGATCATATTTATACAATACTTTCATCATTGTAACTTTAACCTCTTAGCGGGGGCGGTAATCACCCTTATTTTTTTTAAATGGGAAGGGGTATGTTGTGGTAATTCTTTTGAAAGGGCATTAAATTTTCTTTAAAGGCGCTTCGTAAATTTGAGCTACGCCTCGTCAAGCAATGAAATTCCAAACATTTTACTGGTAAAGCAAAAAATTCATTGAAAAAATTGTTTTTAAACTAAAAAATATCAGTCGGCCAATCGACTTTATCTTCAGTTAAGTAGTTGATGTGTATAGTTCGTTATTCTGTGCTTTTATTTTCTTTCAATTCGAAAAAAATGGTTTATTCTATTGCGAAGAGAGTGTAAATTATTGAATTGTATTTTATAAACAATCAATGTGCAAGAGTAATAGCAACTTTGTTTAATGAGAGGCATGCAAAGAGACTTCTACATCGTGATTACATCTTAGAATTAGTGGCAAAATTCCGGCAAACTGGTTCATTGGCAAATAAAAAATATTTTTATTGTATATTAGAGATTATCTTAATTGCTGATTCCTTATGCGATGTCAAAATCAACTTTTTTATTAACTGACGGTTGCTGAAAAGCTGTCAATTACCTGTTATATATAGTTTTAAACTAAAAATTTCTTTTTTTAATGAATTTTACGATATTTAGAATTGTTTTATGGTATAATTGAGGTTATGTTGGTTGCTAAATTTAAGTTTACTGTCCAAATCCATTTTCTGATTAAGGTTAGCTGTCCAATAACTGTCAAAATCTGTTTTAAACTAGACATTTGTCCTTTTAAAAATTTTCTAAATGTTTGTTATTGTGTTTCAGTTGTTCAATTCAAATTAAATGTCAAATTAAGATTTTTATTAAAAATTGTTTATTAACAAATGTATAACAAATTTGTTATCGAATATATTTTTACTCTTATTATCAGTCAGATTTTAAACAAATATTCTGAAGTCATTTTGATTTTTAAAATGATGGCGCTACGGTCTTGTATGATCTATGTGAACTCGCCTTTAGCTCATGTTCGCACGTGTACCGCTTCTTTAACCTCTCTGACGTTGCAGTCGCGTGTCAAAAGTCAACGATGGCGTCCAGCAGATATGACTTGCGTGAAAAACTGTTCATGCTTGGTGATGTTGAAGCTCATATTTTGGGCAATGAATTGCCAACCCAAAAACAAGTGCTAAAAGTGCTTTTGTTTAACACGCGAAAACTAAAACTTCCACTTAGACAAAGTGCAACGTTAGTGGCGAAAGAAGTGCTAACTTTTTGGGAGAAAGCTGGGATTCCGGTGAAAGACATACAACGAGTGATTGAAAGAGTGGAAAAATTGTATAATCAATAGCGAAATCTCTGCAAACGACCGGATGAAAACGCAAAATCCACGCAGGAACTCAAGATAAGCTTGAATCTTTTTGACATTGCAAGGCCTGATGACATGTTGCGTGAATTGGAACCGGAGAAATTGGAGTTTCTCAGCAATCAACGGACGCCACAACAAACAGGTTTCATTGGTAACATTGAAACTGTTATGGATAGTTTAACGTCTGAAGATTTAAATCGAATTGTTGAAGAACGATTAAATGCGCAGCGTCAAACAGAAAGCAGTAACATCGGTAATTGTTTTATTTGTTTTTAACAATTTTATATCATTGAAATCGTTGAAGCCGGCCGGTTGAAAGAATGACGTAGGCCCAGAGTAGCATGCAGGGTAGGGATATAAGTGTGTGTGCCGCGTGGGCCTCCGGTATAGGTTCAGAGCGTCTGCTCCAGATGGCGGTTAGATAGCGGCGAATGGCGGCAATTTAAATGCAAATTGAAATGTTATCTTACTTACAACAACAAAAAAACAAGAAAATGAATTTGTTTTGTTATTGAATAATCGAAAGTCAACAAAAATTATAAAATTCTTATAATATATTTTTTTTTTGCAAAATATTTAACGATTTCTATTCAACTCAAAATTCATTTATTTAACCAAAATAAATATAAAATAAAAAGTTAATCCAAATAAAAATAAGAAGAAAGTCAGTTAGAAAATAATAACTTTTATAATTTGTTTTTAATTTTAATATTTGATAACTAAATTTTGGGAATGCAAATATCAACAAAAAAAAATTATACGATTTTTAGATCCAATGGTGCAATTAGTTGGGAGTAGCGATAGTAATCCTACAGATAGTCAAGGCAGCTCTTACTCTGCGGAAATGGCAATTGCTGGACCGTCAAACCCGAAAAGGAGTCGCGGAACTATAAATGTTTTTGAAAATGAAAAACTCGTATCGACGTTGGACAAATGCCGGGTTTCCGAAAGAGACGCTTCTCGACTTGTGTGTGCCGTAGCTGAAGCCCTGAACGTCGACACAAATACACTTACGCTCAGCAAATCAGCCATCAACGTTTGCCGAAAAAAAATACGCGAAAAACTTGCAGATAAAATCAAAAAACACTTGACTGAAACTCCACTTCACGCTACGGTACTCCATTGGGATGGCAAGTTGATCCAAGAACTTTCAAAAAGTAAAAAAGTTGATCGCTTGCCAATCATCATTTCTGATGGTGAAGTTGAGAAAATTCTCGCAATCCCGCCGTTAGAAAATGGAACAGGCTTAGCTCAAGCCACGGCGATAAACGAGGTATGTTTAATTGATGATTAAATTTTTGCAAAACCTTTTGATATTTTTTTACAAACATTTGCTTGAAAAATGAATAAATGTTTTTAGGTTCTTCAGGACTGGGGTTTATCAGAAGCTATAAAAGCTCTATGTTGTGACACAACTGCCTCCAATCTTGGCGTCCGAAAAGGTGCTGCAAAACAATTGGAGTTGATGTTATCAACAGACTTGTTGTACCTTCCATGCAGACACCACATATTCGAAATAGTTTTGAGTGGAATTTATGATGGGGAAATGGAATCTTCAACTGCACCTTCCATCCAGATGTTCAAAAATTTTCAATCGGAGTGGAAGAACATCAACCAACAAAACTACCTTCCTGGAACTGAAGACAAGCGAGTTGCAGCGATATTAGAGAAGCATGCTGATGCGATCGAAGAATTCATCAAAGAGCAGTTGAATTCAAAAAAGCAACCGCGTGACGACTATCGCGAATTGCTCTTGCTTTCTTTATTCTTCATGAATAGATTACCCCGCGAACAGATCAAATTCTATAAGCCAGGTGCTGTTTCACGTGCCCGTTGGATGGCAATATATTGCTTAAAGATTTTCCTGTTCCGCGATCAATTCTGCTTGACTGATGTTCAGTTGAAGTCGATAACTGAGATTTGTCTTTTTATTGTGATTGTTTACATTCGAGCCTGGTATACCGCTCCTTTATCGACTTCGGCCCCGAATAACGATTTGAAATTTGTTCAGGCACTCTTCAATTATGAGGAAATCAACGTAAATGTTTCAAAAATTGCAAGAAAAAAAAATTGCGCACACCTTTGGTACTTGAGTCCGGAGGCGGTATCGATAGCGTTCTTTGATGAGCAAATTCCAGAAGACATTAAAAAGAAAATGGTGGAGAATTTGCGAATCGATACCGCTTCTGAAAACGATTTTTCGGAAATAGTCTTGCCAAAAAAGTATGAAATTTCTGAAGCCAATTTGGTGTCCTTGAATGACAAGAATATCGATTTTTTCGTCAAACCTGAATCGATTTTATTTGTCAAAAGGTTCAATTTCGAAACTTCTTTCCTCCATTGCAATGTTTCAGATTGGAAGTTGAACGAAAATTACAGATTGGCTTCGAAAATCGTTTCCCAACTAAAAGTCGTCAACAATGTTGCAGAAAGGGGTGTCAAATTGATAACCGAATATAAAGATAGATTGACTTATGACGAAGAACAGAAACAATATGTCGTTCAATTTGTAGAGAATTATCAAAAACAATTCAAAGACTCTACGAAAGCTTGTTTAATTCAGAATATGTAATATGTAGTCTTAGATCATCACCGAAACAGTTCGATATGGTTGTTACGAATGTAAAAGAGTAGACCCAAATACTAATAACTTATATAATAAACATTTTTATAAATTAAAATGCACTTTGAAGTATTTATTTTCATAAAACCGACATCCAAATCACTCAATAAAATGTACAAATGATTGAACTGTCAAATTTCAAGTTCCAAACATAATTTTACAGTTAGTTTACAACTGTCATACATCAAAACCTCTAATATACAATAAAAATATTGTAGAAGTCATTGAAAAATTAAATTTTTATTTTAAAACAAATGTTGATAGTCAATTGACAGCTGTTTGACGGCAATTATTAAAAAAGTTTATTTTAACATCAAATTCAGATTCAGCGCATGAAATAACCATAAAATGGGCATTTTTAATAAAAAACCGTTTTTTTTGGGATTTTTGACAGCTGTCATCAATGAAAATGTCAATAATGACTTCAGATTCGAGTTCAGCGATGTCAAAACCATAAGTATACCAATTTTCAGATTTTTTTTTATGGAAAACTGGCGACGTTACAGGACTTTGAATGTGAAAAGAGCCTAATCCCATTTTTCATCCGATTTGCGATTTTACCTACTCCCGACACAGGCTATTCTAAAAAACGATTAATGAAAAAAAAAACGAATTTCAGATTCGGGTTCAGCGGTGTTTGAACTATAAGAAAACCACTCGACAGACTGGTAAGCCTATAGTAAAAGGCAAAATTTAATCATATTTTAACAATAATTAAATCTTTAACCCGCTTGCGGCACAAAATTACCAAAAAGTTTTTTTCCCAAACTTCAACTTTTTTGGGGGTGCGAGCAAAAAAATTCGCACATCGCCCAAATAACGAACACCCTAATGTAGGTATACCTATACTATACTATCCGTACACTGATATCGAGAAAAAAGTGAATTTCCGACACTGAATATAATCATATCATTATAAATCAATTAAATTTAATTCAATGTTTAGTTTTATTATTTTTTTAATTAAATTAATTTTAAGTTGTTGATTGTTACTTTTTTCAAATGTATATATTAAAAAAAAAAAAATCAATTTTTCCCAAAAAAGACATTTTTAAGGCCTGGATTTTTTCCCAATTTTTTCGGTTTTTTTGTCGAAACTTAAAATCCCTAGTATAGGTATAAATATTTCAGGACCCAGCTTTACCATAAAATATAAACTGATTAAAAAAAATACCCTGGAGATTTCAAGTTTCTAAAGAATAACATGCTATCAAAAAAAAAAAATATATAAAGTCAAAACTAAAAAAGATTTTTAATATGTTTGTCTCGGGAGCCCCTAGCTGCAATCCATCAGGAATTAGAAAAAAGTTTATAATTACATTAAATAGTGGTTAATCTTAGACTGCTATGAGTGGGCCCCTTGATTTTTAAAATTTAAATTAATAACAAGTTCAAATATAAGTATACTTATAAGTTCGCTGGAAAAAGCTTGTAAGCTTGTAATCAATTTTCATATCCCTGATTACATTAAGAGTGTTGCAAAGGACTTGCTAAGAGGATCTACTAACAAATTTAAAATAACAAAACATTAATATTTACAAAACAATCGCAATATTTCATAAGCAGACTAGGGGCCCAATTTTATTTTACCGCCCCTGGCCCCCGACGGGGGCAATTGGGAGAATCCTGCTGGGCAATATAGATTATTAATATTAAAATTTGCCAGGAAAAACTGACTTTTTATAATATTTTAATACCCATATTAAGTTAATAAGTGAATTATTTGATTTATATAAACAATGTTCGTCGAATGCAAAATAAAATGAGTACATATTTGGTATATATTTACTTACTTATTTACAAACTATTTAATAATGTATAGTTTAATCGAAATCGGGTTGGACCCAACTTGCAATGACTTGATATAAACATTTATTTCTTTTAATACAACTAAAAATCTTAAGTCCACCTTCCAAAGCTGCATAAGCAAGACATGATATACTAAAGAATAAAAATGTTCTTGATAACCAAAACCGAATTTCTAAATTTTTAATGTAAGGATTGTGTTCTGGTATATTTTCATTGGAATTTATTACCAACTCATTGCTTTGATATTTATTGGTGCTGCTATCCAAAAATGATGGTTTGCTTGGAAATTCATGTTTACTATTTTTTTTAAGGAATCCAGACTTGTTCATCATAAAATTTACTTATAACCACATATCATATTTTGTATTCTCATTATAATTATTGACAATAGATGTCAATATAAAATACAATTTAGGGTTAATTTAATTTTAAGTACCTACCTATATATAAATTATAAATATATATAACTATACGCTAAAGAAGCATCGGGTTTTCGCAATGAGAGCGCCATCTGGTGGCGCTCGATAGCATTGTGGGAATTTAGGAATTGTCAACAATACATTTAAAGCATACGAACTGCACATCATTTTTAAATATATAGTAGTTTTTTCACTAAAGATAGTAAAAGTTTCAATTGCACAGCTAAATCGAGCACGTTATTTGTGTTTCCTGTTGCAAGTAAAAACTAAAAAACTTTGGGTTAGTAGGTACTCGATTTCGATTTATTATTCCTTACCTATATAATTGATTAAGAAAATCAACGCTTATATGCTTACGTTACGTTAGTGTGTGTATTTTATCTAAGTGATCATGGCAGTGGCGTAACTACAGGGTGGCAGAGCGGGCAAAATGCCACGGACCCCCAGGCCCGCGAGAAAGGTAGGGCAAACCTGTAAGATTTCAGTATACTCTGTAAGATTTAAGAATAATCTTTAGCAAAATGGCAGCAATAACTTTTTTGATATATAGGGACTTCCAAAAGAACGAACTGTTAGGAAACATACATTAATTACGAGGAGATAAAAATGGGGGGAGGGGTCTAGCAAAATCTCACCAAATCTCAATTTAAGGACATTGAAAATCTCACGTGAAATTTTTAAATGAATATGCATTATACTTTAATTTTGTTAAAAGTTTCATGGCTAGAATCTCACGTAAGGGATACGGGGGGAGTCTACCACATCTCACCAAGGGAGAGTGGGGTGTCCAAATGATCAGAAAATAACCTCACGTAATTTATGGTTAGCGTCTAATGATAGATAATTTAACAGTTTTGCACGATTTATAAGATTAAAAATATATTCGTAAATTTTAAATAAATAAAATTATTATGTTTATTACATTAAATAAAGTAATAAAATTATAATTCAATATTAATTAAAATATTATTTCGTAACTGGAATGCAAAACGGACATACGGTAACATGCTGTTGATTTAAAGCTGACATTACTTGACGTAGTTGTACGATTTATTGGTAAAAAAATATAATTAATAATTAACTAAATTACTTCTCTGAATGCATGAAACAACAAAAATAAATAATTATAAATGATTACAGTATATTTTATTCAAAAATAATTTAAACTTTATTTTAAAAGGGGCATCTAGACTTAAAAAGGACATATCTTATAGCAACATCGCTCTCAGTCCGTATATTTTTTTAAATACTTTTTATTTTAATTTTATACGTTCTTTGCATTAAAAGTTATGCACAAAATAATTTATAAGCAACATTGAACTTCTTTAAATTCAGGGGGGGCATCTGATAAATTTGCCACGGGCCCCAGCGGTGATAGTTACGCCACTGGATCATGGTGAATTATTGTGTTTTTAATTGTTAATGTAATTCAAGAATTAAATCTTTGCATTTTCATGTTTTGCTAAAGGATTTAATTCAGTACTTATATTTGTTGGTACAGAATGAACTAAGTAATAATAACTTTACCTAATATAATTTCTATTTAAGTTTGAACATTTTTAAGAAATCTAACAAAAAATAATTGTTGTACAAACATAACCATAAATTAAACATTTTAATATTTGAGTCAAGTACATTTTAAAATAGTAAACGACAAAATATATCTACGAATTCATGGCAACATAATTTTTCAATAATACCTAGATAATTTAATACCCGTTTTTGGTATTTTACCTTTGACTGGAGACTTTCTCAACGCTTTTAATAATGCATACAATTTTTACGTAAATCGTTACTTATTTGTGTATTTATTGTATTTAATACAATTTATATTTCTAGGGAATGTATGCAAGTTATTTCTTTATTTGGATTGTTTATTGGTCAAAACAGGATTTTCTATCGAAAAACACCCAACAGAACAACAAATCGTTCCACGTTTTTTCTCTTGATATCTTTAACATTTTCCTGCGTTTGACGTATGATTATTAAAAGTTGTAGTTTTGTTACGATGATAAAGGCTACGTGGTGGAGCTACTAGCGATGCTTCTTAAGTCTAAAGGCTTTAGTAATTTATGAAACAAGAATAAACCAACACTTTTTTCACATATGAGACTCTCATAATGAGAGGAACTTTTATAACGAGCCAGAGGCGCTTATTGTAAATAAGTAAATTAAGGACGGCATGGCAAATCGATTTTGACATTAACTGTCAAAGAATTCGATGAAAATAAAATTTAAGGTAAAAAATTAATTTTTTTATAGCATTTTTGCAAAGAACTCATGTCATACACTCGTCCATTACAAAACTCGCTCATTCGTCACTCTTTTTATAAATTGTGCGCGTGCGACAAAATGACGTTTTATGACATCTT